AGTCTGTAAATTCAACTTGATCCTAATAAAAATCTTAGCAGTAATGAACTAGATACAATGCTTTTGGTCCAGAATAGGGATATACACTCTTACAGTTAATGAGGGCTCTGATCCTTACCAGGCTTAGAAGAGCATGTTCCTCTCTGTTGGGGAGAGATGGGGTGAGGGCAGCACCATCCGAACTTCCCTCTCAGCAAATCCTCTTCCGCGGTGCATAGGTAAGATGTGAGGGTGCCTGGTATTACTCTATTATATATACTCAGTCTTTGATATGGTTCCTGAAACTCAGAGACAACAGAAAATGTTGCATTTAACACAACCTATTACAATATTTGTTAAAGTGTTTTAGAAACTCTAGGGTGTTATGTGAGTGTTATACTTAATGTAACAGCGTATCCAAATTAAGAGTCCTGAGACCAGCCATCTTGTCACCCAGAAACCTGGAGACTAGGGAAGTCCTCCCTTGGATAGAATTAGAGGCTACTGAATCTAGGAAACAGAGTGGAATCAATCTGCAAATAATTAGTCTTTTAAAATATTTAAAATTAGGAATAAGATCTATGCATCCAAATAATTTTAGGGCTTTGCAAACTTTTGTGACTTTTCATTACAAAGTTTTCATATGGATGAAACTTTTCATTAAATGAAAGAAATAGTTAGAACCAGGTAAGCCTATTTTACATGAAGAAAATTATTAAGAGATATCAACTCAAGCCCCGGTTCACTCTGAGTTTATGGGGAGGGTTCCCATGACGTGGGTGGGCGGAGAAGGCCAAGATACAAAAGGACACACAGAAGGATGCTGAAGAGGCCAGATGGGTGCTTTCCTGTTGATGGAGAACATGGGGGCAAAGCATTGAAGGCATCAGCCTCCTGGGTCCATGTCACCAACACCTTTCCAACATCAGTCTGTTCTTATGGTGCTGGGTTAGGAGGTGGTGATAAAGGGGATGGTCATAGCTAGAGGTTCTTTCCTCAAAGCAAACAGGCAAACAAAACCCCACATACACCTCCCAAAAGCCAGAACATTTTTCCTTTGGTTAGTATTCTGGAATTTTTATTAAACACTTTATCTCTTCTGATTTATTTGCTTTCAGTTGAGACGAGCTTGTATCTTCATCCTTTGAACCCTTAGGACGTGGCAGATGTTGGGGGGTTGCCCATCTCTCCCCATGTGCTGCTCAGAATGTCATCAGGTGGGCTGGTGAAAGGAGGACACAGCTGTTCCCAGGCGATAAAGAGGAAAGGAAATTGTGTCCTTGATTTTATTTTACTTTCTTTGGTATGTGTGTGGTGGTGTGCCAAGATCTTGACATTTTTACTGTATTTCTTTAGTTTTAGGAAAAGTCATTTAATTTGGTTCTAAAAGAAAATCTGATGTTCTTAACTCTTGGGGGCTGGAAGGAGTTAATCCTTACCATTTCCTGTGTGTCTGGGCAGTGAGCATCCTGGGGGCTTTGTGTCTTGTCTCTTGCCCCTCCTGGGGCCTGCCACTTAGCGATTACCCTGTACCTACGTGTCTGATGAGCAAGAGGGTATGTGAATGCCCAAAGTGCAGGCACAGCACTGCTGACTGAAAAGAGAGGCAGGCAGCCAAACGGGTATTCTACAGCCCAGTTCCTTCCCAGGATGATTTTATATAGGTTGATCTTTTTGTACGTAAAATCTTTCCCCATATGTAAAATTGATACAGCACGTGCCTTTACAGAACCACAGTGACCCCTATCCCCAAACCCCTCATCAGTGATGGACCCTGAGCCCTGTATGGAGCTGTGCTGACCCCACAGCCTGTAGAAGATCCAGGGCTCACCCTTGGCAGTGACTGCTCGTTTATGAAGAAGGTGACCCAATAGCCAACACAGGTTATCTGAGGGGAGCCTTGGTCAGACGTAAGGAGGTACTGAGGAGCTTTTGTGTTACTGCAGTTTTGGTTCTGAAGATTCACTTTATTACTTTTTAAAATTACAGCTTTATTGTGATATTCATATGCCATTCAATTCACCCATTTAAAGTGTACAATTCAGTGGTTTTTAGTATATCCATAGACTTGTGCAGCCATCATCAAAACCAATTTTAGAACATTTTTCATCACCCTAAAAGAAATCCTGTACTCCCCAATCTAGCTGTCACTCTCCAATCTCCGTCCCACCTATAGTCCTGGACAATCACTAATCTACTTTCTGTCTGTATCGATTTGCCCATTTTGGACAGTTCATATAAATGGAATCATAAAAATGTAGACCTTTGTGGCTGGCTTCTTTCACTTAGCATGATGTTTCATCCAAGTTGTAGCATGTGTCAGTACTTCATTCCTTTTTTTTTTTTTGGCATTCTGCTTTTTTTTTTTTAAATTTTTTATTTTTATTGGGGTATAGTTGTTTTACAATGTTGTGTTAGTTTCTACTGTACAGCGAAGTGGAGTTCCCTGTGCTATGTAGCAGGTTCTCATTAGTTATCTATCTATCTTATATATGTCAATCCCAATCTCCCAGTTCATCCCCCCCACCTTTCCCTCCTTGGTGTCCATACGTTTGTCCTCTACACCTGTGTCTCTATTTCTGCCTTGCTTCATTCCTTTTTATGGCTCAGTAATCTTCCATTGTATGGATATACATTTTGCTTATCCATTCATCAGTTGGTGGACATTTAGGTGGTTTCCACTTTTGGGCTATTATGAGTAATATTGCTGTGAACATTTGTATACTAGCCAAATATTTTTATATTTTCACTTTTTGTCACTTTAGACTGACATATGTACAGGTACGTAATTTTGACTCCTTTTAGAATCCAAAAGTGTAAGATTTCTTTATGGCAGTAGAAATACATGGAGCACATTTCATGTAGCAGAATAGACTAAAGGGTAGTTAAAGAAAGTACTTGTTAATGCAGCCAGGGTCAATTTTAAGGGAAAATAAGCTTCAAATAATTTTCTCTAAGCTTTCATTTGATTTATAATTTTCTATGTATGTACCCAAAATATGCATCAACATGCATATTTATCATTTCAATTTATAATGGTGTGCTTGGCTAAAAATTTGAACCTATGTAAATTCAGTCTAATTCTTCCATTTATGAGTGCTTACTCCATGCCAGTCATTGTAATAGGTGACGGGTATATAAAGGCAAACAAATAGGGTCTGTGCCTGCACAGTACTTACGTCCAGTCTCACTGAGGGTCAGAGCGTGTGTATGAGGACATCCAGCGTGTAGGACAACGTGCTGCCCTCTGCTGGGGAAGCACAGGGCACCTTTGGCGCTTCAGAGGAGAGCCCAAACCAGAGGGAAGTCAGGGAAGCTTCCACAAGGAAGTTCATAACCAGGCTGGAATCTAAAGGAGAAATGGATGTAGATAAGCAAGAGGAGGGGATGTGAAGAAGAGGAGGAGATGGGGTGGAGGAGGGGAGGGAAGGAAGAGCATTCCTAAGCAGAAGGCTCAGTATGCTCAGGGCATCACCTGTTAAAGGAATTGAAAGCAGTGTTCAGGGTGAGGTGTGCGGGGAACTGAGGATGCAGAGAGCAGAGAGAGCCCTGGTACGCTGTTCACTGCACCACGTGGTTTGGACTCTACCCCAGGAGCTGGGAATTCATTTAAGGGCACCACATGGTCTGCATTTTTCATTTTGGACACTCAAGGGCATGTTGAGTGGAAGGTGGGGGCAGTGAGAGGGCAGGTCATTTGCCATGGGGGTCAATGGGAGGCTTGACCCCAGCATGCCAGGGAGCCTGGAAGAGTCCCTGTGAGGAACAGGTGAGCAGATGGGTTAGAGCAGCAGCTTCTGGGCCAAAGATGAATATTTTAAATCTGCATCATCAGACATCATGGAGGGACATGCCCCTAGGGATGTGGCGAAGCGCTGCACTGGCATGGTTGTGGTTCAGTATGTCCCTTGCCTTAACTGAACTGAGTTGAACTGAGTTGCATTAATTGAACTGGAAATGCCAATAAAAGTAGAGAACAAAAACTGCCAAAACCAATTCTGTGGATGATAGAGTGCCAGCCATCCTTCGTTCTCATTACAGTCAAAAGTCGGCAGCTCCCCCGTTGACTTCACATACTTGCTATTTATTCTTTGAAATCGAAAGCCTGGAAGGGAAGCTAATTAATTCCCTGCTGCCAGGAATCAAGGAGTCGGGGTTGGTAGGCGAGGGGGTAGTAGGGCAAGGTTTACCTGAGTGGTTGTTTTGCAACCTTTGGGAGGCCAAGTCTCTCAGTCCTGAGAGTCAGAGGGGAATTAGACACTGGGCCAGGCAGGAAGGGGGAAGCGACCTACCTCGTGGGGAGGTAGACATGTGCCTGTAAGCTTTGCTCAGTGAGGAGCTGAGGCTGGAGGAGCTGCGTGACTGGTCAGGGGTCAGAGAGCAAGAGATGGAGGATATAGAGTAGGTCTGTCTGATTCCAAATCGGTGGTCTTCCTGCTCCAGCAAGGCATCACCTGAAGTGAGATGCTGAGGGCCTGGACAGAGGTGGCAGTGGCCCTGCCGTGGCCGTCTGCGCGTGGCACACAGGGGTGGGGGGAGGCAGCATAGCGGTGGTGATTAGTTTATGTTTATTAAACTCCCCGTAGATGAGCGGCCCTCTTAGGGACTAGGAGTTGAGTTAATCTCACTTTCTGACCATCTGCATGTGGGTATTTGTTGCTGCAGCTGAGATACACCATGTCATGGTTTGAGGCAACTAGATACATTTCCTGCTTGGCAAGGCCACACTTTTGGGCCAGGGGGCCCTCTGAGAGGCTGTTGAGTCTGCCTGCATTCATCCGGCATTCAGCCGGAAGGCTTTCCCTTCCAGCTCAGTGACAGGGCTGGCTCTTGGGGGACAAGGACACCATGCACAGGTGAAGCCATGTTTTTAAGGTTTCACCAGACATGCAGATGTCAGAGCAACCCAGATCACTTTGGCCTCCTTTCTGGAGAACATATGCATGCCTAATGGCTGAGCACACGACTTCCGTTTTCTCCTCTCAGGGCAGTGACTCGCAGCTTTTTTATGCTTTGTCCAGGTGTGTACCCCTCAGCTGAGGCACCCCAGGAGGCTGACAGCAGCCGGAAACTGGCTCATCTACTGAACGCTGTGACGGATGCTCTGGTCTGGGTGATCGCCAAGAGCGGCATCCCCTCCCAGCAGCAGTCCGTCCGCTTGGCTAACCTGCTGATGCTCCTTTCTCACGTCAGGCACGCCAGGTACAATCCCTGCGGGGGCCGCTCCACGGGGTGCGTGGTGGGAGGGGGCTGTGCACATGCCCAGAGGAGGGTGAAGAGCTTTGGAAAAAGGGTTTTGCAACTTTGAGATGGATAAGGCAGAATTGCCACCTTTAAGGGAAAATGAACCCCTGAAAGGGAAGGGGTGCACACACCTGTAACCAAAGACCGGCCACAGCGAGCACTGAATGTGGCATGGTCCTCGTAGGAGCTTTTTATGGCGTCCTGTGTGGCTCATCTGTTTTTCAGTTGCTGGGGCTTTTGGCTTGTTTATGGAGCTCTGAGAGGGACAGTTAGTTCCTCTCCTAGAGTGAACTGCCACCTCTTTCTGCACTACCCAGGGCTGGGGTCCTGAGGTCTTTTCCTGAAGAGGTTAAACCCAGCTCCTCTAGATCAGCTCTGAGGCTGGTGATTTGGGGAGGTACACAAAGGCTTCCCTAAGAGCTGTTCTTTTCTTACGATAGCATCAGGTTGTTAAGAGTGAGACCTAAGAGAACTAGTGAGCCCAGTAGGTTTGGGACGGCAGGGTGTGGGTAGAGTGTATTCAGGATATGGAAATTGTGTGCACTCGTGGAGGGGGATGGTGTGTGATGATGGTTTCATGCTGGTACCATGCGGCTCAGTGCTTGCTGTCACCCAGGAGGAGGGTAGCCCTGCCATGGGGCTGCAAGAGGGGACATGAGGATGGAAGGTAGGTGCTCCCTCGACGAGGAGGGAAGTCTAGGGGTGGTGAGAAAGGACAACACACACCTCAAGAATTTTACCGAGGGGGAGGAAATGGAAATGACCTCCGCCTCTGTTTCCTCTTTAATGATTACTCAGTACATGACCATTTGCAGAGCAGAAACAGTCCATCCTCATTAATCACAGATTTCCTATTTGTGAATTTGCCTGCTTGCTAAAATTTATTTGTAACCCCCAAATCAATACTCACGGCACTTTTGAGGTCATTCGAGGACACGTGCAGCATGGCAAAAAGTTTGAGTTACCCATACTTACGTTACCAGCAGGGGTCACACAAAGTGCTGCTCTGCCTTCTCGTTTCTGCTCTCATACTGTAAACAAGGGTCCATTACGTGGTCTATTTAGTGCCTCATTTTGCCATTCTTGTACTTTGTTGGGGATTTCACTGTCTAAAAATGACCCCAAGCATAGTGCTGAAGTGCTTTCTAGTGTTCCTAAGTGCAAGAAACCTGTGATGTCCCTACAGAAAAAATATACGTGTTAGATACACTTTGTTCAGGCATGAATTTTAGTGCTGTAGGCCGTGAGTTAAATGTTAGTGAATGGACTGTATGTGTTAAATAAAGTGTCTTTATAACAATAACTCAGAAGAAACAAGGTTATGTATTAATGGCTGGTGAAAATGTTGGGACCAGGACCTCTCAGAACCTAACCCTGTATTTCTCCCAGTAGCAATGGTTCAGTGTTTGCGAAGACTGTGTAGACATAACTATGGTGAACAGCGAGACCCCATTGCACTATGTGCCGGTACTATCAGGCCATTGTGGGTGGGTGATGGGACACCAAGGCCCATAGGACATTGTACTTGTCCTTACGTGTAAGTCATTGGAGGAGACAGATGCAAGAACCATAGCTAGCAAAGGGCTGGAAGAAGCGCAGGGGTTGGGGTGGAGGACCGGCTCTGTCGGGGAAGATGTCAGACTTCCCTTGGCTGCTTCAGGAAGGAATCTCAGCACCTTTTTGTCCCCCTAGTAACAAGGGCATGGAACACCTGCTCAACATGAAGTGCAAAAATGTGGTCCCCGTCTACGACCTGCTGCTGGAGATGCTGAATGCCCACACACTTCGCGGCAGCAAGTCCTCGGTCACAGGGTCCGAGTGCAGCCTGGTGGAGGAAAGTGAGAGCAAAGAGGGCTCCCAGAACCCCCAGGCTCAGTGATGCCAAGCCCTGGGGTGTGGTCAGGCTGCAGAGGAGGTCAGAGGCCGAAGCGTGAACTCCAGCACAAATCGTGAGCCCCATCAGGAGGGGGCGGGCTTCATCGGCTTTCTGCTGTGTGATCCCTCATATGGCCCCTCAATACCATCCTTCCCCGACCTCCCTACTTCCCAGGAGTCAGGGTGAGAAAGCCAGTGCTCCTTGTCACCAGGGGGCACGTTTGAGTGCAGCGTTTATGTCTTGCTTGGCCTCATGGGATCTCATTGTGGTCCCTCTCACTTCGCATCTCCCTCCCACCCTTTGGAAAACATCTTCTTACAGCTTTTGGAATGACTGGTGGAAATCTGACTTGGAAGCGTTGTCCAGTAGAAAGGGGAGAGAACGTGGCACATGCACAGGAAGGGGACTAAGCCTTATTGTGCCACTTAACCTGCCCATAGAATTAGTCCTTTGTATGCTGCCTCTGGACCACTTGATTGTAGGATTGAAAACCACGACGGCAGTCAACTAACTGGTTCCAGACACCTATCTCACAGGCCTGTGAGGACAGGTGTCACGTATTGCTGTGACTCTATCCAAGGCCAGAGGGAATGTGACCTAGGGAACCAGTGGTCAAGCTGAGATGCAAGCCACGTTCATCCCCCAAGATCTTGCTGCCGCCTTCATGCAGGTTCACCCCCTCTTGGTTTGCATTCAGAAAGCCTACAAATTACTTGGGGTGTGTGTGGGTGTGTGTGTGTGTGTGTGTGTGTGTGTGAGAGAGTGAGTGATAACCTTCATGGAGGAGTGTGGAGATTTAAATACCCCTACCCCTGGAATTGCCCTTTGTTAAAACTCTCTTGTCCCAAGGGGCCCAGTGTGTGTGCTAGAGAAAGGACCAGTGTTTGCAGGAATGGGGTTTCTCCTGTGGGTGTGGGTCACAGCCACAGTGCTCCCCTGGGGAAGCCACAACTGCCACCTCAGCCACCCAGGGGAGACAGGGACACTTCAGGCTGTGTGTGTGAGGCATGCTGTTGCACAGAAGGATGAACAGCTACACACACGTCAGCGTGTCATGTTCAGGGCCAAACCGTATAGACGGGGTGAGCGTACCACTTGAACAAGATTGTGAACTCTTTAAAAAAGAGAAATATTTAGGGTTAGTATTTATAGCAAGAAAATTCTTTTATACCCTAGGGCTCTTCTAGAATATTTTCTTATCAGAACATTTATATGGTGGGTTGGGTGAAATAAAAAGTTAGTAAAATATTAGTTCTTATTCCAAGTGGAACATAAATAGGACATGGTGACAAAGCACCTCTGAAATTACAATTTTAACTCACTTTTTAAAAACTGAAATTTTCATACAAATTTTCAGGAACATAGTGAATGCATAAAACGAGTTACATCTATACTTTGGAAGAGAGTAGTTAAATAATATGTGTGATTTTTGCAATGTTTTTAAACATTACCTTGTGATAGGAGATTAAACACACTTTCTTTTTGAAAATAGTAAATACAGAAATGTGCTAGCCACAGTAAACCAAAGTCATTAGGAAGATTACATTCAATAACACAAGGTTGGTTTCTGCCAGTGTGATCTTGAATAATTCTTAATTTTGATATCAATGCAGTTTTACTAAAAAAGTTGAGCAAAGCTGTATCAGAAACTCTTGGCCATGTACCTAGAGAACACACCGTTGTCTGTATTCTGAGGTGATTTGAAATTATTCTTAGTGACTTGTTGCAGCCTCAGCAAGATTGAGTACAGCAAATATATTTGATTTTGTAGGAACGAGGGAACCAGTATTTTTCAGCAGGTCAATTTTCTTTCCAGCCAGTTTAGGAGCCCCCATGACAAACAAGGGGGTGGAGGCTAGAGAGTGGGAAGCGGGAGGCAAAGGAAGGCAGCCGTGAACAGTTATTTGCCAATGAAATTCTCTTAATTGTATTTATAAAAGAGACTACCAGGTTGAAAAAGCAAAAATAAAAAAACAAAAACAAAACAGAATGAGGTCTAAGCCGCAACCCCATTACTATGTAGTGAAGTTTTGCAGGTTGGATTTTGACGCCAAGGTAGGCAACCGATTTGTCTCAGGTGTCCTAGCACCTGTCTGTGCTGCACCCTGTGTGTCACCCGCACGGTGCACGCTCTTATGAAAACTCCTCCAGTGCCCACTGCCCATTTTCCACAGACACTCCTGCATGCTTCTTGGGGCTGCTTGTTTCACTGCATTTGGATTTAGCCCATGAGGAGCATGTAACACTTTTGGTCATTTCTTCTTGGCTGTGGTCTCACCTAGGTGTGCTGAGGAAACCAGTCAGTCAGTCCAACCTGAGAGGCCGCCCTGGTGCAAGGCTGTCTCTTAGACTGGGGTCTGGGCCAAGTAGGCAGCTGAGATAATAAGGTCTATAGTTTAAAGGTGTTCTTTGAGTATTCTAGGGCCCTTTCCCCCTTTCAGATGAAGTGTGTGATCTCTGTTCCCAGCTGCTCCAAACATGTCCTCTAAGGATGACAAAGTGCAAAGTCAGGCTGCTGTTTTTCTGGGTTTTGAGTAAACCCTCCATGTCCATTTTAAAGATTAGCCATTTCTCTTTAATAGTGCTTTCTTAAAAAAAAAACAACAAAACACAGTGCTTTCTTTTAAACGTCTTCTTTTGGACCCAAATGGTCCATGGGCAACTTAAATTTCTCCCATAGCTAAGCACAGTGTTTTCAAATTCAGTTTTTAAAAGGAATTAATTAGAGAGGATAGGACCTGACAACTGTAAACAAGAATTAAATTGAGTATTGGGAAAAAAATAACCCACCCAACTACATTTTATGTATCATGGAAAAGGAATGCTCAGCTTTGCCTTAGACTCGTATGGTGAGATTCCTTTCCTACATTTTGGTTTGTAAGTGATCATTTAATACGACAAACTAAGTTGTGGGGGATGAGTGAGATTTGAGCTAAATTCCAAAAACATGAGTGTCTAATATGGGAATCATATAGACAAATTTTAATGATAATTAACATGGAATATTCTTAATACAGAAACCACTAGCGCAGTGTTCACGCAGGTTCCTGGGAGAGCTGGCAGCTGCTGAAAAGGACCCACATGGGCCACCCCAGGAGAGCTGCACAGTGAGTTGTCCACGTTCCAACTGTATCTCCCTCCGTCCCCACCACATCCTCTCCTTGTGGCCTCAGGCCTGTCACATGCTCAGGGTCCACCAGGACTAACTACAAAGGATTCAACCCTAAAATAATTTTTGAAGAGATTTATCTTCAAAAATTGTGGTGGGAGCAGCAGATTAAGTTGTCAGCTCAAGATCATTTCTGGAGGGTCTTAACTATTAAAAACAAAACAATGCAAAATCAACAAAAGCTCTTCAGTGAGACAGTCTTTATCTGGATTACTTCCTCTGCTAACTCAGCTGGAAGACCAATTATTTTCAGTTTCATTAAAAAAATATCAGTTCCCAATTCTTGGCAGAGCTACGTTATATATTCATATCTATAGGCTATGTTGTTGAAGCAATTCTAGAATGTTCTATCATGTGAAAACCGAGTTTGGTTGTTACTTAAATCTGCTAAGAAACTTGCATATATTGATACTTTTTCAAATTCCAAGGTGAACCTTCAGTTTCTAGTCTATTTTGAAATGAAACATTTTTATTTAAGATTTGACACATTTCTTTAAACTGCTAAAAAATCTTAAAAAGACATAATAAAGGAAATGATAAAAATAAGTTGTTTAGTACCCAAAAATAGTATTTGCAGAACACTGACTGTGTGCCAGGCACAGTGCTCAGTGCCTCAATACATTCATATTTAATCCTCATACTAACTGCTGTTATCCCAGTTTTCCGGGTCTGGAACCTAGAGCCTAAGCAAACTTGCTCAAGGTCACACAAGGGAGTAAGTGACAGAGCTGAAAGTAATCATGCGGTTTAAAAAAACTAAAGGAAGAATACTTTTAGACTGCAGAATCCATTCGTCAAATGCAGTCTGACATGCGCGGCTACTCTGGTTTAAATGGCTCCATTTCCAGAACACCCAGTAGAAGAGAGTTCAGTCCCATCTTTTGTACACGTGTAAATTAAAGCCTGGAGGGGTAAATGGACCTGCTGAAGGTCATAAAACTACTTAACGGCAAAACTGGGACCAGAATTCAGGTCTTCTGCCTGCCTGGCCAGCACTGCTCCTGCTACAGACTTGCTTCCATAGGAGTCTGCTGCTTGAGCTGAGTCTCGGTGCATAGAGGAGAGACGGTTACGTTATGGTTGCCTTCTACTGTACCCTCTGCCTTCTCAGCTTAGATGGGGTCTGCGTGAACCTTTACAGAATAGCAGCCATGACAGGTGGGAAAAAATAAGATGAATTATATCATTCCTACCCTCCCATCCTGGGCTCATAAGCTCGTGGGTGGCACTGCCATCACCTCCTCCTGTCATCATTTTCCCCAGATGTGTTGCTGTGAAGTAGATTCGCTGGAAACTTACCCGTGTAAAATTCTCACACCTTTTAGGCACTGATGCTTCCCCGTGGAGTCTAGTCTACTGCAGTGCAAAACACATGCATTTATTCTTTACAGCTCTCCAAGTTGCTGGAACTTTGGCTCAAAGTGGTAGCTCAAAGATGTGCATTCTCTGCAGTGTTATTCTTATAACCCTTTTTGTTGCGTTGGAGTCAAGGATCCTTTTTCTTTTTTTTTCTGAATGCCGAGGGTCCTATTCACTTGTGGGGCCAGTCAGTGTTATGTGATGGTGGGCTTCCTTTAAGGGAAGGACAAAGCTCTGACGATATGCTAACCCAGACCAGTTCCTGTAACTCTACAATCTGTGCTGCTGTGTTTCTCTTTCTGTGCTGGGTGTCTAAGTGCCATGACTGTAGGTCCTGTAACGTTGTTATTCAGTGGTCCTGTGTACCTCAGAGCCCACTGGCTGGCTATAACTTGTCATTTTTTTCAGATGAATGCTCTGTACCATTAAGCAGGCTTTTAAATTTGGGCCTTTTGACAAATGAATGTCTGCTGTTGTGTGAAAGCAGATTTTGAAACCTGCTTTCCATTCCTCCAGGTACTACTTTTTCTTTGCTGTGTGCCTTTAATGTCTATGGAACTGTTGCAGAAAAGTTTAATGTGACATAAGCTAAATAAAGTGTTTTTTCATAATTTTGGTTTTAAAAATGTATTTGTTGGGAGTATAAGAACTTTCAGTAATTAGGCTAAGTAGTCAGTGTTCCCATTCTATTCTGAATTTTATTCTGTTTTAGGTTTGCAGAGCCCTTTAAGAATTTGATGAAAAGCACAGACACTCTTCCTGGACAAAGGTACATAAACAAAATGCTTACATACAATTTCAAGAGTTAAGAATCTCTGACTTAAACTGCTGAAGACTTTTTAAACAGCAGCAATTTAATCTTTAGTCAGCTAATCTCACACCTGTAATTTATGACCAAAGGCATTGTATGCTCAAGTAAAATGCAGCTCACAAATATGAAAATTCTGATATGCAATGCATCAGTTCGGGGAGTAATTTTCTGTAATTACCTCATTTGAGTCAATTAGTATTATACCCCACGAGGGATGGAGAGAAAAGTAATTCCTTCATACTGACGCTAACTTAATGTCAAGGGTCATTTGAAAATTTCTCTCGCACGTGAGGAATGGAAGATGTAAAATCTCTTGTAGGTGTAAAACACAGATTATTTCATAACAAGAGCTGGGGAACACACTGAGCTGTGGGTGAAGGAAGGCTTCCCTGGGGTAGAAGCCTGGAGTACAGACTCAAGACTCAAAGGCCTCTATCCTGAGAGTTGGTGTGCATCATTAGACTTGAAAATGCAAATGACACTCTCCTTTCTCCGCAGCTTGGACTTGCCCCAGAGTCCCTCCTTACAGGCAGAAAAGGTCTCTAGAGTAGTCACCTCCTTTGGGCTGGAAGAAGGGAAGGAGGTAGAGATATTCTGCCTTTTGCCTCTGGAGAACCTGGAGCAAGGACCTTCTAACCAACTCAATGGCTTAAAGAAAAAGTTTGGGTAATATTTTCATTTAAATTTCCCTCTACGGTTATTGTAATCCATGAAAAGAGATGGATTATTTTAGAGTTAAAAGAGACTTTGAGGTTGCATGGTAAAGCAGTACCTTTGTGTCCATATCACTTCCAACAATTTGGTAAAGACAGTTCTCTTCAGCTGGTCCCTTTACATAAAGCTACTGGTGAATTGCACACGTTCTGGGGTGTCTGACCCACAGAAGGGCCACCAGTGCTGAAATCTGGCCTTCATCTACTGACGAGCTTCCTTGGCTTCCCCAAGGTTTGCACTTTGCAGAGAAGGAGAGAGGGACCGAGATTGCTTCGAGTCCATGGTGTCTCCCGAGTGTCAAGAGATGCAGGTTAAGAGCAGGTAACTGAGGAACTGGGTCAGTAACAACTTTTTTTTTTCATATTCTTTTCCATTATGTTTTTTTTCTGGCTTTATTTTTAATTTTATTTTATTTTAAATTTATTTTATTTATTTATTTTTGGCTGTGTTGGGTCTTCATTGCTGCGCGTGGGCTTTCTCTAGTTGCAGCGAGTAGGGGCTACTCTTCGTTGCAGTGCGTGGGCTTCTTATTTTGGTGGCTTGTCTTATTGCAGAGCACAGGCTCGAGGCGCACGGGCTTCAGTAGTTGTGGCACGTGGGCTCAGTAGTTGTGGCTCTTGGGCTCTAGAGTGCAGGCTCAGTAGGTGTGGCACACGGGCTTAGTTGCTCCACGGCATGTGGGATCTTCCCAGACCAGGGCTCGAACCCGTGTCCCCTGCATTGGCAGGCGGATTCTTAACCACTGCGCCACCAGGGAAGCCCCTCCATTATGGTTTATCACAGGATATTGAATATAGTTCCCTGTGCTATACAGTAGGACGTTGTTGTTTATCCATTCTCTGTATAAAAACTTACACGTGTGGACTCGTCTCCCACTCCATCCCTCCTCCACTCCCTCCCCCTTGGCAACCACATCTGTTCTCTACATCCGTGATTCTGTTTCTGTTTCATAGATAGGTTCATTTGTGTCATATTTTATTTTTCAAAAAATATTTATTTGGCTGCGCTGGGTCTTAGTTGTGGCACACAAGATCTTTAGTTGAGGCATGCAGGATTTTTAGTTGTGGCATGTGGGATCTTTTAGTGGTGGCATGTGGGATCTTTAGTTACGGCATGCGGGCTCTTAGTTGTGGCATGTGGGAGCTAGTTCCCTGATCAGGGATTGAACCCGGGCCCCCTGCATTAGGAGCACATAGTCTTAACCACTGGACCACTAGGGAAGTCCCTGTGTCATATTTTAGACTCCACATATAAGCGATATATGGTATTCGTCTTTCTCTTTCTGACTTACTACTTCATTTATTGTGATAATCTCTAGTTGCATCCATGTTGCTGCAAATGGCATATTTCATTCTTTTTTATGGCTGAGTAGTATTCCATTGTATATATGTACCACATCTTCTTTATCCATTCATCTGTCAGTGGACATTTAGGTTGTTTCCATGTCTTGGTTGTTGTGAAGAGTGCTGCTACGAACATAGGGGTGCATGTATCTTTTTGAATTATAGTCTTCTCTGGATATATGCCCAGGAGTGGGATTGCGGGGTCGTATGGCAACACTATTTTTAGTTTTCTGAGGAACCTCCATACTGTTTTACACAGTGGCTGCACCAACTTACATTCCCACCAATAGTGTAGGAGGGTTCGCTTTTCTCCACACCCTCTCCAACCTTTGTTATTTGTAGACTTTTTAATGATGGCCATTCCGACTAGGGTGAGGTGGTAGCTCACTGTCGTTTTGATTTGCATTTCTCTAATAATTAGCGACGTTGAGCATCTTTTCATGTTGGCCATCTGTATTTCTTGGCCATCTGTATTTCTTCTTTGGAGAAATGTCTATTTAGGTCTTCTGCCCATTTTTTGATTGGGTTGTTTGTTTTTTGCTGTTGAGCTGTATGAGCTGTTGTATATTTGGAAATTAAGCCCTTGTCGGTCTCATCGTTTGCAAATATTTTCTCCCATTCTGTAGGTTGTCTTTTCGTTTTGTTTATGGTTCCCTTTGCTGTGCAAAAGCCTGTAAGTTTGACTAGGTCCCATTTGTTTTTACTTCTATTGCCTTGGGAGACTGACGTAAGAAAACACTGGTGAGATTTATGTGAGACTATTTTGCCTATGATCGCTTCTAGGAGTTTTATGGTGTCCTGTCTTATGTTTAAGTCTTTAAGCCATTTTGAGTTTATTTTTGTGCATGGTGAGAAGGTGTGTTCTAACTTCATTGATTTACATGTGGCTGTCTAGCTTTCCCAGCACCACTCGCTGAAGAGGAGACTGTCTTTTTCCCATTACATATTCTTGCCTCCTTTGTTGAAGATTAATTGACCGTAGGTGTGTGGGTTTATTTCTGGGCTCTCAATTCTGTTCCAGTTGGATCAGTAACTTCTAATCACACTCTTTGGGTGGGAAATAGACAGTGGTGCTGGAAATGGAAAGCAGATGGCTTTGTCTGTAATGTTTGTTAAACACTATGTGTTAATTCACCCTGGAGGGAGCTGGGAATACAAAAATCTGGGTGAAATGATCCTTTCACGTCCACCTTCCACACTGTGCTGCCCTCATCGCCCCCTACAGCATTGGAGGCTCACTGCACGGGGTAATCACCTCCTATACAGGTGTGGGTTTCTAGATCTCGTAAGTTATTCTGTACAAAGATAAATAAGTAGAATATAAAGCTTAGCTCAAAATCTGTAAAACCGGTAAATCCCCTCAGATATTTAAAAAATAATTTTTGGTCCATGGAAGATTACACATGACGTTTAACTGCTTTGTAATATAATCTAGTAAGACAAAAGTATGGCTTTTTTGTTTTCTTTTAATGAGAAACATCTGAGTTGTACATACCACAAACAGCTTCAAGTCTCTGGACCAACCCACCCCCCCACCCGCCCGTGGCCAAACAGTTAAAGAAAACCTGAAGCACCACTTTAAATGTGAAAAGTCTTATAAAATTAACTTACAAAAATGTCCCTATCAAGTCTGTAGTTTGTTTGTTTGTTTGGCATTTACTGTACATTAGTCAAAAAGCTCAAGCTAAAATCTGATTTTTTAAAAAAAATCAAAGTTTACATTATTCATACAGATTCTGCATTGTTAAAAAATATGCACAAATAACCACATCCATGCAATATAATTTCTTTAAAAATTTAAAGCAATATAAAAGAGCAGACCTAAGTACTGAGCAGAACATTTTGGTTTTATAACCTGTAGCTCCAAGATTGCTGCTGATTGAAGTAAAATTAACTCTAAATATTTTAAATATGATTGTTTCAATCAATCAGCCAAGGGTGCGTGTGAGTTTCTGAACCATTTCTGAGGCGGAATCTGCTTGCTTGTTTCTGTAATATGTATTATGTGATGAACACTACTGTTCACTGACCATATTGACTACATTTTAATAATGTGGTTTGACAAATCAGAATTCACAAAGTGCTTGGCTCTTCAGGAAACTGCGGTTTCCAGAGATCCCGAAACCAGTCAACTAAGTTTTGCCAAACTGCCCGGGGTGATGGCCGCCCAGGTTCCCTGCCCTGGGGGAAGATCATTTGAAAGCTGCCCTGGGTCCCGAGAGAGCTCTCTCCGGTCACACCCAGAGGGAGGTGTCCGCAGCAGGTGGTCCCTGGACCAATGCTCAGAGTCCCCCACGGATTGGTCTGGGGCTGTGAGTCCGGCACTGCGCAAAGAGGCTGGTGGGTGTGGTGCTGCGGCCGGGCCGGCCTCTAGGTTGGGGGTGGCCCATTGGTGTACCTCAGCATGGGGTAAAAGGACCTGGCAAAGTTGTTGGCCTGAGTGCAGCTGTAGTCCTCTTCGGAGGAGGGCAGCAGGCAGGCCAGGAGCAGCAGCAGCAGCAGAAGCAGCTGGAGGGGCAGCGCCGCCCTCATCACCCGCCAGAGGAAGGAGCGCTGGGGCCGCGAGCTTTCAGGGCCAGCGGAGCTGGGCACCCTGGCAACAGAGGAGGACGAGAACTGATCAGGAGGTTCCGGAGGCAAACCCCACTCCCGTGACCTGACCCCCCTGCTTGCGTAAAGACAATCATCAGGACCTGAGATTAAAATGGGGCCCACGGCTGGGATTCAGCTTTGGAAGGGAAGCCCAGCCCCTTCCAAATGGAAGAAAACAAGAAAACCAATTTTTCCAAAGACCTTAAGAGTGGCATTGGTAAGCCTGCTGAGGGGAGAGGAGTGTGGGACAGGGAACCCATTGCTGGTGTTGTAATGCTGTTACCTGCTGGCTGTCTTGTTCTTGTCTTTTGTAGTTATCTCTGCTCTGAACTGCTAGATAAAAATAATCCAATTAGTAAACTGAAGATAGTTTAGTCCTGTCAACGATAAAACGTTCCTCCTTCTTAAATTATACATCTTTCTTAGGTTGTCTTCCTGCCAAGCTTTTGAGCCTAGAGTAATACATTTGAGATTACACTCTCTGAAGTAAGAAATAATTCAGTTAAACTAGGGAGAGTTTCACGTTCCAGCCTGTTGACCTGTTGCCACGGAGAGATCAGGAAGCCCCTTCAGCAATGCCAGGAGGGCTCCCAGCTTCCACAGCCAGCACAATCCCACCCGGGAAGAGTACTGAGCACAAGACAGCCTTTCCATTAGGTCTTTCTTTAAAAGTTTTTTTTTTTTTTTTTTTTTTTTTTAAATCTTTGGAGTAAGCTGCTCTACTGACCAGCAGGTTGAAGCAGAAATCTGTGCTATCATGAAATACTGGATGGGGCCTTGGAGGCCCAAGTCCCTGTCATCTCAATAACTTTCAAGAATAACCAGTGTCGTTCGCCTGGCAGAAGGGGGCTCTCACCTTGGCTTGGGGAGCTGGCACAGGTGCTGCTAGAGGCTCTCCGGGGTCTGCTTCATCCAAGCTGGGCAGAGGTGAGTCTGGGTTCTGAAATCCACACCCCAAGAGTTCAGTTCGGGGAAACAGAAGGCTCTGAATAGTCTCAAGAGCACAAAAACATGGTTCCTGCAGGTTTTTCGTTGCACCGCTCATCCCTTCCCCACTGTGATCCTGCTAAAAGGAGGGGCTCTTCTGGTGCGCTCACTCCCCCCTCTAACAGGGCCTTACTCAGATGACAGGGGATGGAAACAAGGTGAGGCCAGCCACTTGCATTAAAGACCCAGAGCACACATGAGGAGGGGGACAGAAACAGCTGGACAGTGAGCTCGCCGCGGGTGATGTAATCACGTGGCCACACAGTCTGGGCTGCACGGAAGGGAAGATACATACTCTGGGATGGAGGGGAGGGGCTGCCCTACGTCTGGCGAGTCCATTTGTTCTGAGCTGGATCACATTTTAAGAGAAGAAGGTACACAAATGAGAGAGTGGTCAGAGGAGAGTGACCAGGACAGGGAGAGGACCAGAAACCATCACATGAGAACAGTGAAGGCATGAAGGCAGAAACGACGGAGGGACCCGGCTTGTTTTCCGTACCCCCAGCCACACTGATGGGTTCCGTTGCTGCCTCCCTCTTACAAATGACCAAGCGGCTTTGAAGAGCTTTGGTAACTTGTTAGGGCCACAGAGCACAAAGGGGCACGACTCCTCTGTGACTGCTGCCACGTGCTTGTGACCTCCCTCCCCAAGCAGGGCTGCCACACCGCTTTCCCATTTGCATACATTTTTATATTTAGAAGCTACAAGGGGACTCACCTGGCTTTGCTGCAAGGACACTAAGTCTTGGGACACTTGCTCAAGCAACTGTTTGAGTTTCTTCTCAATAACATGGACTTTCTCTTCAGCCTCAATGTAGTCTCCTCTGTGCCCCTTGACAAGCAGGCTGCTGGAAATCTCTTGTAAGGAGTTCACTTGAGGTTGACGCTCCACTAGCTCCTTTTCCAGTTGCTAAAAATAAAAACGTGTGTCAAACAGTTGCTTACCGAAAGGGAAGCTAGTGTGGCAGGAAGAAGCTTTCTCTGTGCCAGGGAAGTTCCAGGATGAGTGGTGGCTGGCACCCAACTCAGAACCACCACCTTCTACCTGCCTGCCTGTCCTCAAGCCTGGCATCACTTAGATAGCAAGTTGGTTATACTCTACCCCTATTTTAAATTTTATTTTATTCCTTCTCATTCTAAAGACAATAGTGATGCCGGAGAAGTTAGAGGAAAGGAGTGAGGGGGGTGGTGTGGGAAGACCAGGCCCTCATCCGCGACGGCAGGAAGGTGAGGGAAAGTCTAAAGTGGACAAGTTGAGAAAGCGCAGCTTACGCGAACCACTGAGAAGTGTAAGGAATCAAGTGAACCTGATTGTGCGTCTTGCTCGATGTCTAACGTGGTAGCGCTGGACAACGTGTGGCTACTGAACGTGGTTAAAAGCTCAGTTTTAGTCACAGCAGCCACATGTCCAGTGCTTGGGTGCTGCCATGGCTGGGAGCTGTCACACTGGACAGTACAGCTGTGGAACATTTCCATCATGCAGAAAGCTCTATTAGAGCTGCTCTGGACACGGGGGCTTTATGAAGATTTTAGACCAAAAACATATTTTTTAAGCAATGACCAGTGTTTTGATTAAATTTAAAATGTTTAAAACTAAACCACATACAAATATATGGATAAAAATGTCACCTTGAGTGCAAGTGAGAATATATGGGTCTCACCTTGGCTTGCTGGTGAAATAAATATATGAAAACACAGCTACCCTCCCAGAAGAAAGACTGTGTACGTGGCTATGGAAAACTCATACAGCTCATCATGACTGCCAGGTGACTGAACACCGTGTTGCCTCCCAAATGAGCTGTATTCACAAGGGAAAAATAATTCAAAGGGCCTTCAGTTTCTCAGGATCCTGCCAACCGCCTCCATCACCGGTTCCTGAGAGTCTTGACGACTTCCTGCTCTGGGCCACGACTTTTCGTCCCTGCACTCACCCCGCTTCAGAACAGCGCAGGGATGCTCAGTAGACACCAACCAGAACACGAGGGCAGAACACCACGTGGGCGTTGTTTCCAGAAGCGCCAGGCGAGGCCACCTGAGCACTGACCTCCTGAAGAGGCCAGTGGTAGTGCAGGGCCCCTAGACTTACCAGGAGCTCCTCCTGACATGCCAGGAGGGGCCGGGGGTCTGCCTCTGGGTCAGTGACACGAGCCTCCTGCCTCCGGCTCTCGGCGCTCGCTAACCACAGCAGCAGGCTTTGACTCAGCTGGTGAAAGTCCTAAAAAACAGCAGACGTCAGAGCATGTCCCTTTCGTAGACTGTGAAGGCAGGTGTGCTGGGAAGCAGCGTGCCATTGCTTATCCATCATCGTCATTTGCTCTGCTGGTCCTTCTCCAGTGAATACAAGGGCCAGATTTAAACTAAACGCCAGGGCCCCCAAATGAGGGGAAGCAGGGCAGGAGAGCACTCGGCCCTGTCCCAGGAGGCACACTGAATTCTGCCACACTAAAAGTGCTGGCAGAAAGGTGGGGCTTCGGAACACCCCACCTGATATTACTAGGAAGAGCACACAAATTATTCAACACATCTGCTGGAGTCACTGGTCAAGGGAGACACCCCAGCAGGACAGACTATGGCCCAAAGACAGTGCTGCATGTGGTTGCTGGTGGGCTCCTGTTTCCTAGGATGGGGTCAGAGCTCACCTGTTGGGCATTTATTGTGTGGGCGGTGCTGGGTCAAGGTTATATGCATCTAGTTCTAAAGAGAACCCTGTGAGGTAGGCCCTGGAATTGTTCCCATTTTCCAGATGAGAAAACTGAGGTCTAGAAGGTACAGTGTCTTCCCCACAGTCACACGGCTACTAAAACTACAGAGCTGGGTTAAACTGCGCCTTGTTCTAGGGCCAGGTCTCTTAACACTCTGCTATCCAGTGTTCCTGGCAAAAGGACAGACACAGGGCAATGTTGGTGTGACACTTCCAACCTACTGGAACGCTTGCTGGAACCCTTACAGTACGGGTGGGTCTGGGCAACACAGTGGGAAATGCAGGGCAAGCGTCCGGTCTCTGAGGCAGCAGGTGGGCCGCTTTGGAAACAAATGGGAAAGCGCATGCTTCCTAACACAAACCATATTTGGCTGCGCGAAAGCAGCCTGAAGATGATAAACATATCTCTTCTCCCACCCACGTGGGCCTGGCTGTGCTCGGGACTGGACCTTGGGCACCGGCTGGGTGCTGAGTCGCCGTACCTGGCACTGCATGAGCGACAGCCGTAAGCCCTCTCTCCAGCTCTCCACTGCACCCTGGGCTGCGTCCCAGCGCAGCCGCAGCTGGCCGACTCTATCTTGGAGCTCTTCGGAGTCGGTGCTCTCAGTTTGCAGAAATTCCTTGCTGCTCACGTTGACAGAAACCACTAAGGCCTTGTAGGTGTCAAAGGCTTTTAGTATCTCCTACCGCAGAGGGAAAAGACTGGGTCAGGCACTCTAAACAGTGATGTGGGGTTCATTTTGAACTTCAGTGGGGAACGGATCTTCCAAACACTTCTCTAAGCCGTGGCCCGGCATACAAGAGCAACGTCGCCTGTCACTGGCTGGGAAGCCTCAGGTAAGGGAGCTGCCTTACGAGGTCACGACTTGGCTGGCCAGATGACTGGGCTGAGAGACGAGGCCCGTCTCCCGGTGGACCAACTACACCGCAGGCATGAATAGACCCTGCTGGCCTCTGTCTGGCGTAATAACATTTCTGGGTCAGATTAAAAGTCTTCTACATAAAGCACACATAGTTATCCTGCATTCGCCCCGGAGTATCACACAAGTGTTATTCCTTAGGATGAGTGGTAACCCCTGATATATCAGTGCACAAAGTAAAACAATGGTGTGAGTGTGAAGACTGCCTGGATACCCCAAAGCTCCTATCCTGGGTCTTCTTGGGAGCCCAGGCTCATGTTCAGAGCACCCCCAAAGTGCAGGGCTCAAACTGCCCCTCCCCTGCTCCCTGGCTGTGTGGGTGACAGCTCCCAACTGCGTAGCAGAGGAACCGCTCAGGCCACAGAATCGGCCGGTAGGTGCGCTGTCCTCCTCCTCACCCTCAGCACGCCACCCCCCGTCGTGCCTGCGTACAGTTTGGAAGGGTGTTTTTAGGCTGCCTGTCCATGGCCACGGGGGTGGTCCCACAAGAGTCCAGGGATCCCTCAGCAGTCAGATGGGAGCCACAACTCCCCAGCACTGCTCTGGGCTTTGGGATCATCTGGAGATGCTCCTCTGAATGAAAATACAAATCTTCACCTGCGTCCTTGCTAGTTACAGAAATGAAGTGCGAGAGGCTACTAACCACACAGCGTGTGCGAGCCGCCCCTGACGCGGCAGGCAGAGGATCTGATGTGCACATGCGTTCTGAGGTCCTCTTCCCCTCCACGCCCTCACTCACCTTCAGCCTCTTCACTCGGAGTTCCATTTCCTGCATACCAGAGGGAGCCTTTGCCAGCTTTAATGTTTCCAGCTCTGCTTCAGTTTTTTCCAGCCACGTGGTGATGTCGCTGATATCAGAGTTCAGCTGCTGCAAGTTTTGTTTTATTCTGAGTTTACTGTGAAGTTCTTGCGCTTGGATCAACTCCCATCTATCAAAGGCACCTGGAATAAAAAGCCGCCAATAAAAAGAAGCAATAATGCAAACAGATTTCTCTGCTTCCAACTAATTCAGCGTCACAGTGATAAAACCTGCAGGGGATGCTCCTTGCAGGAGCCTTGGGGTTTGGGGGGTATCACTTCCCCCAAGTGTGGAACAGCACGTTTCCCTCGCTCTGGTTCAAGGCCTGTGCTGCTGCACTCCCACACAGGCCAGGACCAAGTAGGGAGCTGCTAGGAGGCCCAACATGTTGCCAAGATGCACTGTGGTCCCAGGTTCAGCACTGCAGTTCATGCTGTATTTAAGGCACTCTCGGTCTTCCCTGGTGGCGCAGTGGTTGGGAGTCCGCCTGCCGATGCAGGGGACACGGGTTCGTGCCCCGGTCCGGGAAGATCCCACATGCTGCGGAGCGGCTGGGCCCGTGAGCCATGGCCGCTGGGCCTGCGCATCCAGAGCCTGTGCTCCACAAGGGGAGAGGCCACAACAGTGAGAGGCCCGCGTACCACCAAAAAAAAAAAAAAAAAGCACTCTCCCCACTCTCCCCTCTGTCCATGAATGATCAGGTCGATGCTATGAACTTGACTTTAGGCTCAGTTGAGTCACGACTTTTCTGGTCTCTCGAGGAGACACCTGACACAACTCTTTGATCATCATCTTCATGTCTGATCTTCACATACAAGCGAAGTCATGCAGGTAAAAACAGACCCTTTATCATGAGGCTCATTTTGTCAATATTTAGAGAATAAATAACAAACAGGAACTTGTTCATAAATACAAGTCAGCTGATTCTAAAATAACATTGGCTGCTATAGGCCAAGTTCAGCAGTTTTGGTGAATTATGTAGTTGGTCAATTCCTAATCAATGTTCTGTTGAGCAGTGCCTTAAAGTAAATGTCCAACTAACTCAAAACACAGTCTCTGCCTCATAACAACGGCCCAATTTAACTGTACCTGACTGCTGCCCGGTGAGAGCAGCCAGGCCCTCGTCTTCCTGCTGTGAGCCGCCAGTCAGGACTCTGGGATCTTCTTTGCCACCTTCAGTCCCTGGAGACAACAGCAGCTTTACCTAGAATGAGACAATTTTTATGTTACCATCTATACATTTTAAAGGCATCTGAAGAATGTCTTGGTTCATATTAACAGGTAAGAAATGAAGATATAGGAACCCTTTCCTTTGAAGGGTAACTTGCTTGTAATACAGAGGCACTTTAGTGTATGGGTAGCATTTATAAGCAGCAGAGCTGATGGCAGAAATAAAGCTTCAGCAAAGGCGCAGGGGGAGGGGTAAGCAGGTAAGATGTCAATCTTGGGAATAAAATGGCCTGATTTAATTTGAGGCTTCCTAACACTCCTCAATCCAACCATGCAAAAAGGCTTAAAAACAATCGCTGAGCTTACCAGACTGTTATTGTGTTAGCACTTTTACATCTGCACAGTATTTTACAAAATTTTAGTTATCCCTCCCAGTCACTCTGTAGAGCTGGTTGGCATTATTATCACCGGGAGTCGGAAACAGAGCACAAACCTGCCTCCTAGGGTCATTCATTACCAAGCATTTATCTTCCACTGTACATATTGACTCTTGTGTTATCACAGAGCTGCCTGGGCTGTTATCTGAGGACTTTCCAAAAATAAATGTATCTTTTTTTTAGAAAACTCGTGTTTTTTGGATTGTGTCCATATGGCCTATTTGTGTGGAATGAAAAGAAAAAACCAAAAATCCTTCAGATTGGAGGTTGCAGACACACAGACACAAAGGGTGAGCTTTTGAAGGTGGCCAGGCAAGGAACACAAGCATAGTTCCCGGAAGAGGCCAAACCACATGGTCCTGGATGCAAAGCAAAGGTGAGGTGCTGGGGGCTCTCTCTCCGGGGCTGTCAGGTCTTACTCGGCACCACAGAGGGACAGATTAAAAATGATAACTGCTTGCTAAGAGGAAGAGTTTCCAAGTTGGGCACGGGCAACACATTATCAAATGATTGGGGTCTGACCGTGTTTAGGCAGAACCTTCTCCAACTATCTAGCAACATCCACTCCTTCACACAGAGGGCACTCTGACAACTGATCTAGTGACGTTCACATCACTTCTGGTTTCTCTAAGAGATGACACTAAAAATGTGCGAGACGTCTTAATTTCAACTTGCTCGTCACTAATTCTCTGTACTGAGAATGATCTGGGGCCAACGTTAAATCCTCCGCAGGCTGGCCCGCAACAGCCGCGTAGCCAGAGCGTGGCAAGGGCTCATGTTGCCTGAGGAAAGTGCAACTAAGAGGGAACAGTCACTGGTTTAACAACAACGACAAACCATATACAGTAGTGAGAACAACAATAACAATAATGGTGGCCACTTCAAGGGCCTTCTTTATACCTTCATACATGTTAATCCTAACAACAATTACGTAAGGTAGGTTTATCCTCAGGTGAGGAAGGCTTACAGAGGCAAGGTAAAGTGTTTATGGTCCTAGAGCCATTTACTGGTAGGGCAGGGAATCAAACCCAGGTCTACCACTGCACACTGTCAAACCTTTCTGAACAGGAAGTCACAATTTTCTGAATAGGATGTGTAGGCAAGGTAAACATATCAAAGGTTTGGGAGCGCAGGAGCGGCGCAGGAAGGCCAGCACTTTGTTTCTCTGCTGTTTGCACAATGACTGACTCAACAGTAATAATCCCTGTCATAGCGCATCAACACTCAAAGATGGTGTTTGGCCGGACAGCTATCTCTCAGTCTAGTCAGTTATGCCAGAGTTCTCATGAAGTATGTCACCACGGGAAAACCAACCCAAAATATGCCTGGGGAGTGAGCACACACAGCATACACCCAAAGCTCTCTCCCTTTAAATATTTGAACCATTACTCATGCACTTGGGTTGTGCTCTCAGTGGGGTCAAGACTTACGTAGGCTGGTTTATAAGGGGTGCTGGAATCGGAGGGGATGGGTTGGACACTCCTGTCACCTCCCACTTGCTTGTAGCGACGCTTGCGGCAGGGAGGGCTGTCGGGAACGTGCCACGAGTGGCCTTCAGAAATGGATTTACCTGAAACAGAAAAATAGCAAGTCCGTTCCCGCCAACCAAAGCTTTCATATTTAGTTACACAGAAAACATGGCATCAGGTTACAGTATAACATGAGTTCTGCAGCTTTCCTTGCAAAGCATGCATGTTTGCAAAATGTCAGTATGTCCCAGAAGGGAATGAAATGAGACTCATGCAACTGAACGGCACTGGGCCTGCACTAGATGGGTTCACGATGGAGCACAACAAACACGTGATCTGCTGCGGGATGAGTGGCCTTTTGGAGCCGGGGGCTCTAGCGGTGGGGGGTACTGGTGGCGAGGCCGGGTTTGGGGGCCAAGAGGACTGAAGGCCTCTTAGGAGTGAGGGAAGAGTGAACATCAGGATGGACTAGGGGACCGAAGGGCCGCTCGTGGCTCTCCCCAACCACCGCAGGTGGGGATGGGGCAGGGAATGAAGATCAGAGCTGCAAGTCAAGGAGAGGGAGGTGTCTTCTCCTGCGGCAAAGGCAGCAGTACCCTCACCCCCTCCACCTTCCCACCCTCTCCCCAGGAAATCACCGTAAGCAGGGCAGTAGTTCTAAACCAAGCCACCATGAAGAAAGCTTGGCCCATGCCAAAGGGCTTGAGTGAGATGGAGAGAAAAATAAAAATTTTACAAGGCACATGAAAAATTCCCTTCTGCACAGGCCTGAAGGGGAGGAGAGGGATGGCGTGGAGACTGCTCTGGCCTGGGAGGGTTTTGTATGGAGCACGAAGCTATGTGTGAGTACGGCAGTGCAAATACACCATGACACAAGGACCAAGGCGCATGGTGTCCACAGAAGGCAGAGGTCAGACATGACACGGGAGCGAGGTTTAGGATGCAGTGTGCACCACAGGACGCTGCCATGTTGGGACGCATGCACGGGCAGGGGCCTACCAGAAGACGCTTTCAAAGTTTTTGTGGTCATTTTAAGATATGCCTCAGGATTTTCAGGGATTTCTACATCTGAAAAAGAACAATGTCATTTTCCTCACTGCAGGCGTCTGTAGATGAATGCCCAAGTATTAGGTTAAAACAGCAGCAACATTGTCACCTGGGAGGAGGACAGTGACTACCCTTTATCTGTTTTATTAAAAAGCCTTAAAGAACCAGAAGGAACTTTTCAGTTAACTCCTGACCGTCCGAAACAGCGGCGCGGGAGGGGAACTGCGTAGAAAGGACAGAGACGCTCCATCTACTGATATTCTGAAAAACTCAATTGAAAAGGCCACTGACGAGCCTCCCGTCTATCAAGAGCTATCAGCAAACAGCCTTCATGTCCCAACGTGGACTTTGTTTATCCTTCCCTTTCATTCCACCAGGAATAGGAAGGAGCCAGCCCTCAGGGAGGTCAAAGGCGGGCAGGACAGACACAGGAAGCCACAGGAAGTCTGGGTCAGCCGCAGCCTGGACTCTGACCACTGAGAGCTGGCCGTGTTGCTCAGGTGCTAAGACTAGCCGTGCGGGGCCATACCTGACAGCGCGCTGTAGTACGGGCCCTCCTCGTCTTCTTCGTGAGAGGACGAGCCCCCCACGTCCCCTGTGTGATCCCACTCCAGCGGGATGGAATCCACGCTGACAGGGGTCTCACAGCCGGAGCGCTCGGGCCCTGGTGCCGGGGGCACCAGGTGACAAAGGGACTGAGGGGACGAGGGCTCCTCGCTCTCTCTTCTTTTACGCCAAGAGTCGTCCTGGATCTCTCTGGGGTCTTCCACGTCCGTTTCATTCTCAGAGGCTTCCTTTTCATCTTCCAAGCCCTAGAACGGGGGTATCCAGTTTTCAGAATTAACCACTGGGAACTGGCGGCTTCTGAGTAAGTACTGGCTCTATATTAGTAAGTGTGGAAAGAGCACTTTTCAACTCAGCTTTTTAAAGCAGACTCACAGGTACAGAGAACAAACCAGAGGTTACTAGTGGGGAGAGGGAACTGGGGAGGGGGCAATATAGAGGTGGGGGACTAAGAGGTACAAACTATTCGGGATAGAACAAGCTACAAGGATATATGGTACAACACAGGGAATACAGCCAGTATTTTATAATAACTATAAACGGAGTATAATCTTCAAATATTGTGGATCACTATACTGTACACCTGTGACTTATATAATATTGTACAGCATCTATCTATACTTCAGCAAAACAAAAACATAGTTTTTTTTTTTTTTAAACCATAGAATAAATCATTGTTAACCACGCACAGTTTCCCAATTCTTTAAAAGTGGAGTCAAACATCCACTTGGGGTGGCCCAGCAGCCCCGCGTGAGGCGCAGCCCCTTACCGACGTGTGGGAGGTGAGCCTCCGGTGGAATCGGGAGACCCTGCCAAACACTTCCTGGCAATAGCGGTGCAGCTCCTCCAACTCATCCTCGATCAGCACGGCGTCCAGGGGCTCACTCTTCTGAATGAGCTGCTCCCCAAAAACGATGAGCTGATCGATCTTGTTGGTATTTAATGTAATTTCCTGCTGGAAACCCTATTTAGAATATGAGAAAGAAAGGATTTCAAACTCAAGCTTCATCAGTTTTCAACTAAGTGACTCCAAAGATTTAAGAATTTAAAATGATCACACGTATGTATTTTTTCCTTCCCCCTTCTGGGCACTGACTTTTCCAGTTACAATGATTCTAAAGGTCTGACGTGGATGAACCTTTACTGTTACTGGGTGTGAGGGACAGACCTTGTCTTATTGACACTTGGTAGAATCAGAAAATTTCCCATAGTAAGTCTCCACTGGGCATTTCTGCTGACACAGTAATAGTGCTCATTGGTGCCGTTATACCATGGAAGGCAAATCAAATTTCCATTTCTCAACCTCTTATAAAATTTAGCCAAGGAGGGAATTGTAGTGCGATTAAAGTGTAGTACAGACATTTGTGACAGTGGGAGAGAAGATACCTGTTCCTGGTCCCACTCTTTTCTTTTCTCTTGTTTTTAAATGAGAGGTCTTTTATTTTTTTAATTTATTTCTAAAATATTTATTTATTCATTTGGCGGCACCGGGTGTTAGTTGGCGGCATGTGAGCTCTTACTTGCGGCATATGGGATCTAGTTCCCTGACCAGGGATCGAACCCGGGCCCCCTGCATTGGGAGCGTGGAGTCTTACCCACTGGACCACGAGGGAAGTGCCCTGACCCCACTCTTGAGAGAGAGTTTCCTGCTGCTACAGCCCACAGGTTGCACTCAGACTCAAGTGCTGGAGAAACAGCACCTTATGAAGTTCTGTCTGGAACCGCAAGAGCGTTCTCCCCTTGGATGATTACATACGACAAAGAGAATGAAGGGCCTCGTTCCAATACCCCTCGACCGTAAGGAACAGTATCCTTGCTTGTGATAACCTGGCAGTACACAGGTGGGTGCAGTCTGGCTGCTCTGACACTTCTGGAACCTGCTCTCAGGGTATCAGGTGAAGTCTGTACTTGGCCAGCTCTCCCCTGCCTAGGTGCACCCTTTGGGGAGGAGCTAAGGAAGCAGGCCTTACGTTCAGCTGGCGCATCTTGTCGTCGGCATCACTCTCCGAGAAGTGCTCCACGTTGGTCAGCTGCAGGTCCATCTCCGTGAGCCACACCAGGATGCTCTCCCTGGTCCCCTCGAATTCTTCCCTTTGGTTGGTGAAATGCTGCGAAAGGGTGAAAAAATCACGTTTGTGTTGATGGCATAACAGGAGTTCAGGCAGACAGCAAAGTCACTCTCAGAAGAGGGGAAAGGGAGCCCAGGGTACCCCCGGAGGCCCACACGGCCAGGAGCCTGGGGTCTGGTCCTGGCTGTGGGATACCAACGAGCCCCCTAAACTTCCCTGAGTCTCAGTATCTGCTGGTAAACGAGGTGTGGGAACGTTGACCGTGATCTCTAAGGTTCTTGCAGCATGTGAAATTCTATAATTCTCTGGTCTAAGTCAGTGATTTTCCCAGTCTGTCCTCTGAGGAACACGCCCCTCTCAAAGCCCAGGCTAGGCACCTGCCTATTTTCAACTGTCAGCCTCCTGTGGGAGCTTCTGCTCGACAGAAGGATTTAGTAGCTTCAGGATGGAAAAGTATTGATCTCGGGGTTGAGCCTGGACTAGTGCCCCATTTGCCTTCACTGATATAATTCCGAATGTATTTCTTCAAAAACAGAAAACCCAGATTTATCACTTCCAGTTAACGAGGCCTCTTGGGTTACCACCTCATAGATGGGCAGCTGATTCTCAAACAAACATAGGGCCCAGTGAAGGCTTAGGCTGGTCACAGTCAAATCCAGTCAGCAGGAGATAAAGAAATTCATGCAAGGGGGTTGCGGAAAAGCTAGCCCTTTTCTTCCTGAGAGGGTGAAACAAAAAACCCAGATTTTCCTCTTCTTAGAATGGTTTCAAGAGTGCTCTGCCTTAAGAACGGAAGCAAGGATTAAAATTACTTCCTGTAGCCACAACCCACACCGGTCCTGTCACTTTACACCTGGACTCACAAAGGTTGACATATGATGTCTTCTGAATCACAGAAATCTAAGGTGACGGTTCACACCCCAGAATCAAACCCATCATTTGAGGTTAGACAGCTGCTGTGAGGTTGGGAGAACTGTCACTGTCCCCAACCCCCAATACAGAGCGGGGGGCTCTGTCTGTTCCCTCACAGTGCAAGAACCAACGGGACACACAAAAGCGGGCAGATGGGCAAAGGGGGCCTCGTCCCAGACTAAGAGGTACCTTCGCCCGACCCGGTGACGGCAGCGCCCCAGACTCTGGGCAGTGTGTGGGCTGACGTGACACCCTCAGGGGTGACAGGAGTCGAAAAAAAGCGATGTGTTGGTAACACAATCCCTTGAATAAGCTCTGCCTGAGAAGCCTATTCCGAGGCAAATAACTTCACTTTAAAAAAAAAAAAAAGGAAAAAGGAACGCTTTTTGGCAGCTTTGGGCTTAAACAAAAGGGAAGGCTGTACTGGAAGAATGTCAAGACAGCTTAGGCCTCAAATGAAATCTACCCGCTGCTTTGTTACAAGCCTGACATCACATATCCGACCCCCTCCACCTCCCCAATATCTACAAATGACCCGGTGACGTAGAGGAGGTTACTCGGAGTCGCCGCAGGATGGCTGTGACCCGCTTCTGGAGGTTGTCCCAGCGCTGGTTGCCCTCGTGCACCATCTGCTTCAGTTTGCTGGCCGTGTCGGTGCGGTTCTCGCGGGCCAGCCGCCGGTACTGCTTGTTGATGAGCTCCAGCTGCGTGAGCCTCTCGTGGATCTGCCGCTGGAAGGCCTGTGGCACGGGGGGGCCCTGTCAATGCCATAGCTGCAGGGCCCCGGGACACCCCTTCCAGGCCCCAGACCACCTGCTTCAAGTGTCCATCCAACGGAATGGCCACAGAGGGCTGGCTTCACCCGTTCTTCTGACACTACTGAAGAACACTTTCAAGTTCACGGCCTGCGGTTGGCATAAATCGGTAATGCCCCACAAAGCTGCTGGAGCAGCTGATGGTGGGCTGGGGACCGGACGGCCGCAGCCAGAGGTGGGGAAGCCTGCCACTTATGTGAAGTCATTTAAGCCAGCCCCGAGCCCGCCGCATCCTTGGTTATCAGGACCACTGGGCTGGGGAGGGCCTTTACCTCAAACCTCTTCAGCTCTTCTTTGGCAACGGTGTACAGCACCTCGGAGGAATTCGGGCAGGCCGCTGTCCTCTCGGCGGACTTGAGCCAGTCCTCGAAGCGGGAGTAATCATCTAAAAACTTCTGCCAAAGCCGCCACGTCTCCTCAATTCTAACAGGAGGAAAGCAGCTCAGTACAAGCCATCCATGTCAAGCCAACCTTTTACGTGGCTTTTTCTCCCCTGACTGGTCCCAGTCCCAGCCCGCCTTGCACTGGCACTAAATATTTAGGGGGAGAGACCCTGCTACCCCTTCCAGGAAATAACCGGAGACATCACTTTGTGGTCAGGACACCCCCGTTCTGGGAGCGCCAGGCCCCTCAGAGCTTCTGCTTCACAGAGGTCACCCAACAGGAGACAGGCGTCCTCCACTACTTAGAGCTGGGACACATCAGCACAGTGGCCACCTGCCGTTACACCCCAAGACACAGGAGGGCTGGGGAGAGACATGACCCTGCCTGTATTCTCCTTGAATGATCCCCTTAATAAGGACTGGCCACACCTACTGAGCCTTCCCCGCCAATACCACGCCCCTCGGTGAAGCTAACAGAACACAGTCACTGTTACGTAGGTCAGTCAGGAACACGCAGTCGGCATCCAGGGGCAGCGTGGTCCTTACTTCATCCGCCGCTCCATGGACATGGCGCAAATGTTCCTCCAGCGCCTGTCCAGGCTCCTGGTGGTCTGCTGGACGGAGTCGCACTCAGTCTCGTTGGCACAGGCATCGGAGTCGTGCAGGAGGACGTCGCAGATGTTAAACACAGACTCCACCCCTGCACTGTGCTGTTCTATGTCTCGCTGCAGGTCCTACAACGATGGGAGAGTAGGAAGCACGTT